TGACTGTTACATTTGCTGAAATAAATGTCTGGAGTAATGGAAGATTTGTCTTGTACTTCTGAAACTAACAGTACAGTTATGCACCGCCTTTGGGGGGGTTGGTTTTTCTCCTAGCTCAGCGCTGTCTGTGCAGAATGTAAGGTCGGTGACCTCTTTGGCTGATACGATTGTGCCACTGGATGGCAGTACAAGCTACTCTTTATGTATTTGTCAGGTTAGTGTGCCGATATTGAACGATTATTGGTCTGAATGCAACCAAGCCAAATATTACATCTGAGGTAAATCTAAAACCGGGCAAAACTGAATATGCCTTCCCAAAAAAACACATCAAGATTCGGAAACTGCTAAAGTGTCTGTGAATGACAGAGCTGAAATGGTATTCATTATTTAATAGCAGGAATTAAAATTTGCATATTGAAGCGTTTACACGACAATGCATCAGAAATAAGCAACGTCCTTATGCTTCACCGTATTTACCAGGGGTGTAACAATGCATCGATTTGAATCGATTCAAAGGCAAAAGTATTGTTTTCATGATCCACTCCGACGTATATATGGTCTACGCCAGGGGTGCCCAATACGTCGATCGCGATCTACTGGTCGATTGCAAATGTAGAGTGGGTAGATCGCATAGTATAAAACAGGGTTCTTCAACTCTGGACCTCGATTCCAAATCCAGGCCGTGTTTTCAGTTCTCTCAGGTAGTTTAATAATGACTGATTCTGATTGGTCAGAGGCTTCACACCTGACTGACAGGTAAAGGAAGGCTGGAAAACCAGCAGTGCTCGGACCTCGAGGACCGTGAGTTGAATAACCCTGGTATAAAAAGTAGAGGCTGGATGACGCGTTCAACCGCGCCAGCTGCTGCAAAACTCCGGCAAGCGGCCGAGTCCCCTGGTCAGCTTCCAATTTATTTCTACTAATAGGGGTATGAAAATGAATGGGGGAGCTGGACCAAGGAAGAAGCCAAAAACCTACCACTTCCATACGGAATGGTAGGACTTTTTTTTTCTTCCACCATGTGTTACGTGCCGTTGTTTTCACCCCGCCTCCACGTCCGAACTCCGCCCACGACCGTGCCCGCTAGATCTGCCCTGGCTCCACCCCCACCTCCGGGCCCCGCCTTCGATTCCTACTCGACCCCGTCACTTCCGTCCGGAGAGGGATAAGAGCCGGACAGAGAGACACTTCGCTAGCTTAGCTCATTACTTGATTATTGTTGGATTGCTTTCTTTGGTTTTGATTACTTGTGTATGACTTTTGATTTCCTT